GGTCATTTAAAGCAAAAGTTTTGAAGCTTAGGAAGAGGGAGAATAAGGAAGAAATAGGATGAGGGTATTAGCGTCTGGCGAGTGCCAGGCAGCATCGCATAAAACGGTGTCCAATAAGAAATAAAACCAGATGACAGGAAGCCAAATGAACCCAGGAAAGAGTGGATATTTTAGCTGACCTAGAAGCCAAATACTAGCTGGGTTAGAGTAGGTGCTTTGTTTTGGGAAGTTAAGGACCTAGTCACTGAGGTAGCCAGCAGGAAGGCTTGCCTTTGGATTAAGTGGAACAGGCGGTCACACGGCGAGATTACATGGAGGTATTTATAGCCAATCCTCTTTAACGTCCTTCCTCGTGATATCCTCTGGTCCATTCTTACCAGGCTAGGCCAAGCTGTTTACTGAGTCTCCTTCGAATGACTTCGAATTACGTATTTTTATTCAGAGAAAGTTGTCAGTTCAGCAACCACCGCGTTAAAGCACCTGCATCCGCTTAAAAGGTGCTAGTTTTGAAACTCAAAGATATCAAGCCGTCGGCACAAAGTGTACATGGTCACTGACGTAGATGAGAAACAGAGCTGACCATGAAACGGTGCCTAGATTAAGGTTTTTTCACTTGGAATGTTCTGTCTGATAGGAACGCCTTATTACAGCGTAGAATCTCCCCTTACATCCCATACCACCAGAGTTTATGGAGCAGTGGGACGTGTTGGGCTCGATCGAATGCCTTGGAAGTCGAAAAATATGGCATTCGATGTAAGTCCCTCGTCCTTAGCTTGGGCTAAGCTGCCCATAACTACGAGCACGTTCGTCAAGGAAGAAAGATTTAGGAGAAATCCGTGTTGAACTGAGGATATCAGGTTGTTGTTAGTAAGGTGACCTACAATGGCCCGCTGAAGAAAGCATTCCTTGCATGGCACACCGGTAATGCTAATAGGCTTGCAGGTTCTGGTCGATAGTAGATCACTAATTTCGTAGATTGGCGTGACAGTTGCCTTCTTCCAAACAAAAGGAGGGTTGCGTCCGTCAAGCGACTGAAGAGGCATCGGGTAAAAGTGCTTTGCTATTTTGAGCGATGTTCCCTTTGGGATCCTTGAAAGGACCATTCTGGCCCAAACGCACAGAAGTTGTTTGTCCTGCGCAGGAGTTGAAGAATGTCCTGCTATGTGAGGGCCAATTTGGCTAGGGACCGTTTGCAGTTATGGCTTGACTGGATTATGACGGGGTCACCGAGGCTGAATATAGGCCCGCGGAGTGTTCTCAGTAGACTTGAGATATCACTATTGCATCAATTGGGGGTGTCCCGTCCCTCAAGTAAACGCGGTTGGCTTTTCACTGAGACGATGTATCATGTGCTTAAATCGCCCATTCTGTCGAACGGGCTGCTAAAGTTTCAGTGGATATATGAGTGAGTGATGGTCCAAAGACTGATCGATTTTGCTTATCACTGCTCGTGTATGGCCTGAAATTTGTATCAAGGCTGACCACGCTGTTGAGGGGCGCACAGTAGACGTTCACGTAGATAGATTGAATAAATTCATTTGTAAGAATCCCAAACGGGAACATCCCCCAGATGCCGCGAGATAAATACCCGGACGGAGAAATTGGGAGAGTTGTCCGGTGGCTTGTGTAACTGAACTTAGACTGAGAAAACAAGATGCTATAGAGGTGGGTAGGATGTTCAAGCAAGGAGTGTTAACTGATGAAAAGAATATCTAGGATCAGTGTTGTGGTTAACAGGATAAGTTAAGGAGCAAAGATTCGAGACCTACAAACTTTCTCCGGCTATTTCTTAGGGCAGCAATCGGCAACTCAGCAACTTAGGTAGTGTTATTCGAATGCAGGAAGTTGAGTTAAAGTGTGACCATGAGGTGGTTCGCCTGGCGTGAAAAGTTTCCTCTGTTAAGAAAGAGCTGATATTGGAGGGCAGTCAGACATTCACGTTTTTTCTAACAAATCAAGATACTTTTCTGTGTACCTCACTCTCTTGTATGGTGAACACGGATGCCGACCCTCCATCGATTGATGTCCACGTTCTTCACCCTTCATTGGCAGGTTTAGTTTTAGCGCCTGGCGTTGAACGAGTCATTATCGTCTTGGTGCACTTTGGCGTATGGGTTTTATAGGTCCTGTGAGCGAACTCTAGACTAAGGTTGGGAATTTCCTCCACCACCTTGCAGACGTACTTCCTAATGGTCCGTTCAAAGTAGTCCCAGAGTCACCCGTCTTAATATGCCCTTTCATCCAGTGAGGCTCCCTTCTGCCCAAAATCTACGCAATTGTCCATCCGCTTTGCTCTTGGGGCTTTTGGCAGACAAGCGCATGCCAAAAATTGCTGCGTGTCTGTTTTTCCACGTTCCCAACATCTGCTCCTGTGCCGCTTTCTACGTTGAACCCAGCAAACAAACAGCAACCCCTCTTTAAGTGGCGTGTCTTGCATTAGTTTAGATTGTGTTTTGGACTTTGGTCCTCGGTTTCTTCATTGTTCAACTCAGGGCAGTCCTCATTTGGGGTCAAGCGACCCCTCACTACTTTTCTAAACCTACCTGTAGCACAACTACCTCTGAACAAACCCCAACTTTTGGATAACGGCACACTCTGCCTTTGCTGATCTCATCACGTTCCTCTACTTTGGCTGCCGTCTCCAGTCGCAGCTGCACTAAGCTTTTGTTTTGGTTGCTTGCTTCCCATTTAACTATTTTGTCGGTCTAAGTCCATCCGTTTGATTCGCATTGTGTTTAACCCCTTTTGCCAGCGCTCCGACAAAATACGTCAAACATCACGTGTGCAACGTCAGCAGCGGACGGAAATACAATAACTATGTATCTTTTCGTGTGCTCTCGGATATGGTTGACTCCCCTTCTTATAAGGTTATCCGCGAATCGGACAGGTTGGTGACCATGATCCATCAGCCACTGATGTGAGTTCTCCCAATGACTGCTGATCTCACGCTCGAGGCTTGTGTGTCATTGTATTCTTCCACAATTGTAAACTATGTTTTGCAGAAATTCATTATTTTTCCCAGGGCGGCCAACTAGTCCACTGCATTAACAACATTTCATTAGTGCGAGGACTCCGGGCGCTCTTGTTTTGAATATACTGCAACAATCAATGCAGTTATTTA